AGGAGCAAGACAGAGTACATGGAGTGCAAGTTTGGTGGAGGTAGAAGCAGTGGTAATAGCGGAATTACTTTAGATGGTAAGGAGATACCGGTCAGCGATATGTTCCGTTACTTGGGCTCCATAATTCAGAAGGACGGTGAGTTAGATGGAGATGTATCCCATAGAATCAGAACAGGGTGGATGAAGTGGAAGAGTGCGTCAGGATTTCTATGTGATCGAGGTATGCCGACTAGACTGAAGGGTAAATTTTATAGGACAGCAATTAGACCTGCACTACTGTATGGCACGGAGTGTTGGGCGGTGAAACAATGTCACATTCAAAAGATGAGTGTGGCAGAGATGCGCATGCTGCGTTGGATGTGCGGGCATATTAGAAAGGATCGTGTGAGGAATGAGACAATCAGACAAATGGTGGGAGTAGCACCTATTGAAGATAAGATGCGGGAGTCGCGCCTACGATGGTTTGGTCATGTGCATAGGAGACCGATTGATGCACCTGTCAGACGAGTGGAGATGTGTGGAGAAGAGGCAGGGAAGAGAGGGAGAGGAAGGCCCAAACAGACGTGGGCTAGGGGAGTCAGAAGTGATATGCTTCTTCTTGGATTGGATGAGAGTATGGCGTTGGAAAGAGCGAAATGGAGGGCGGGTATTCGTGTGGAGGAGTGATATTGTATCATCTTTTCCCCTCTTTTCTTCTTCTTCTTCTTTTTCTTTTTCTTTTATATTTTTATCCTTATATATAAACATTACTTTATCCTTTTTATTTTATCTTTTATATGTATATTCATCTATTTTATATTATCTTTTTTATAATAGCTTATCTTTTTTATCTTTGTTTCCTTTCTTTTCTTTTGGATGATATCATGTATCGATTCATGTTAGCCGACCCCAATATCGTTTGGGACTAAGGCTTGGATGTTGTTGTTGTTGTTGTTGTTGTTGTTGTATTTATTTATTTATTTACTTACTTACTTACTTACTTATTTATTTCTTATCGTACTCCGTATTATATAGAGGAAATCACTCACGGTAGGACTAAAACATAGCATTATTCTTAAAGTATGATTAAATGTTTGGTTTTTCTTAAATGGGAATAAATATTACATATTCACCCCTAATTTAATTAATTAATTAATATAATTAATTGTTCCCTTTCAGAACCAAAGCCATTTTGTTGGTGACGCGTCAGTCCGATGACGACAGCGGGGAACTCCGGTGATGGATGTGGACAGGTCACAGGCATATCGGTAGCGACAATCTAGGTGAAAATTTTGACGAACAACAGTGGCGGTCCGCATTTAAAAGTCTATGGACTTTTTGAAAGTCAATAAACTTATCCATGGATTTAAAAGTCCATAGAATTCATTCATAAAAAAGTCTATGGATTTAAAAGTCCATTGACTTTTTTAAAAGTCCATGGATTAAAAAAAGTCCACAACAATCCAAATTGAATACACCCCCCTTAATTTAGTTCAATTTGTTTGCTTTGATATGAAGGTTTTATTGATTTAATTTAGTTCGATTTTTCTTGATCTAGTTTCAGTTAGATTCATTTGGACTTGGTATGATTTGGTTAAACCAAACCGATATGTCCACCGCTAATAACATACGTGGGATCATACAATCAAATAATTTGAAAAAAATGTCAAGGAACATTATCTAGGTTTTGTAATAGAATCTGACAAACATCAATACCATTTGTTAATGAATAAAACTCTGTAAGTAATTTGTAAAACACACCAATAATAAAATGAGAAACAAGAATTTGTCCAGATGACCATATATATATAATGAATTATTTGTATAAAATTTTTGCAGTAAAGAGAATTTGGTTTTCCTACACATGTTTTATAGCCGAGAGACTTGATGAATGATGAGGAGAAAGAGAAAATTATATCAAAAGTATATAAATACTACTCCGTATGTTTATTGGTGAAGGATAAACGAATGCAGAAGCAGAAGCAATTTTCAAAAGCTCTCCCCCAGCTTCTAAAAAATTGTTTCTGAGAGTAAATTAGGGCACCAGAAGTACTTCTGCACTTCCACCCAAACACTTCAACTTCTACTTCTGCTCCTTCAAGGTTGAGCGAGTGCAGTTGGAGAAGATGGAAGATCTCTTTTCTCGGAGAAGATGGAAGATCTCTTTTGGTCATTTGAACAGCTTCTCAACTCGCCACCGGATCATCATTGGCCATCTGTTACAACTTGGAACCAGTGATGACTCAGCTCTTCATGTCAAAACACTCTTGCTTAATTTGAACTTTTTCTTTTACTAATTTGATAATTCTGCCATAAAAGTGCATACATACCAAAGACTATTTCACTTTTCCCAAACCGAAAACATAAAAGTATTATAGCACTTTATAAGATCTATTTCAACACATTTGCCTAGTTATTTGATTAACTTCAAATAATTTGACTTAAAAGATATGTTGTATGAATTCTTTGAGAAAGATTCTGGGATAGTATAATACAAATAAATAACATATATATTTGTTTGTGTTCTACTTTCCTAGATCTTTCCTCAAATAATTCACCCAATTTAATCATTTTAAAACTAACTTTTTTGTGTTGAAAAATTAAAATAATTTTATACAAAAAGTATTTTAAATGCCACCTTATCATATTTTAAAATCGAACTTCAATAAAAAAAAAAATTAACCACTAAACTTTAAGGGTATCTTTGGAAGTTTGGACAAACACAAAAGGAAAACTTTGAAATTCATAGTAGGAGGAAAATGGGAGCTAAAGTTATATAAATGAGAAGCGAGATACTACACATGAACTATAATTAAAATTGTTTCAGTGATATTACGAAGTAAACATACTTATATGATATACTTTTTTAGTATATAAGCTTAAATAATGATAAATACACTATTGTTTATAGCCTTTTAGAATAAAATTTTACATCATTCAGCTGTTTTTTCTCACTCTTTTATAAGTTGTTTATGTTTTTTTTTTCAAATTATGATTACCATGTAGTACTATGTATTACTTACCGTACAACATTCAACTAGCGCTTTTTAAACAATCGTTTTAAGTATAATAATCTCTGATTATATTCATATTTGTATGATGGAGTATATGGCCCAAAGACGTGGGCCCACATACTCCTAAGTTTATACCATTCAATACCATGTAGTATTATGATTATATTCACATTCAACGTGGGCCCACATACTCCTACTTCCCCTAAACAGGCCCAATAAGCCCAGTAAGCACATGAAGCCCAGATGCAGCAGCCCACATTCCAGGAAGCCCACAATACACATGTAGATGCCCTCGGCACCCCTGCCGAAGGCTTGGAACTTCAGGAGGCAACTGCTCTTGGACCCACAAAAGCCGCTGGAAGATTCTGGCTTAAACAGTAGCCTTCCGCCTAAGGGTGCCTTCGGCACTCACGCCGAAGGGTCTCCACTCACCGAACATTCCCTCTGAAGACAGGCAACCACCGCATTTAATGTGGTGTCACGTCCAACCACCACCGCTGCTGGAGTGACCCTCACCATTGATTACTTGACACGTGTACTCGCATTTAATGCGCCTAGCATTTATGACTGTTGTGAATAGCACCCCCTTCTTCCTATGTAAGAACAACGAGTTCATGTAATACATTCTCACTCTCTCCTTCTCTTACTTATTGCTCTGACTTCTCTCTAAGATATCACTCATGGTATCCCTCAGATAGGCTACCCCCGGATACACTATCCATCATTATATTTTCAATTCTATAAACTTACAGTCTATAACGTATATCATGGTAACAAACTAAAATTGTTTTAAGTATAATAATATTTGATTATATTCATATTTGTATTTTCAATTCATATTTGTATTTTCCCTTTCTTTTTCTTTAAAATATATTTTTTTTCTCGAAAAAAAATAAGAAAGATCTATTCTTACTGTGCGATGCATGGGTACACATACCAGTAATCATATAATTGAACAAAATATCGAGGAACCTCATCTAGCTCTTTAAATAGAATCTGATATACATCAATACCATTTGTTAATGAATAAAACTCCACAATTAATTTGTAAGACATATCTCATGAGCAGTTACAATAATATTTGGGAAAAGTACGAAAAAGATACTTGTGGTTGGGCTCGTTTTCAGATAGGGTCATGTGTTTCATTCTTTATTAAAGTGGTTCATGTATTTGAATTCTATTATCACAAGAGGGTCACGCTGTTAAAAACGTCTGAAAAAGACCGTTAAAAGTAACTCTGATTTTCAAAAGTGCCTATAAAATTAAAAGAAAAATACCGAAAGGTGCGCCTCGTCAAGATGACCTCCAAACCACCTGCGTCTTTGGATTTTTCAGATCTGTTTGAATTGTTTTTTAAAAATGATTTCGCTAATATGACTTTTCCGGTGGACTTTCCGTTGACAAGGGTGGCGGAAAACAAAAAAGAAAGATGACCTAGCGGTCGTCTTATTGAGGCGTACTTTCAGGTATTTTTCTTTTAATTTTTTGGGCACTTTTGAAAATCGGAGTTACTTTTAAGTTTTAACGGTCTTTTTCAGACGTTTTTAACGGGTGACCTTCTTGTGATAACGGAATTCAAACACATGAACCACTTTGATAAAGAATGAAACACATGACCCTATATGAAAACGGGCCCAACCACAAGTATCTTTTCCGTACTTTTTCCATAATAGTTTTAATAGGAGAAACAAGATTTTGTCGAGATGACCATAATCCATATATATATACAATATAATGAATTATTTGTATAACATTTTTGTAGTAATAACATAATTTCTGAGAATCTTGGTTTTCCTACAAACATGTTTTATGGCGGAGAAACTTGATTGGATGAAGAGGAAAAAGAGAAAATTATACCAAAAGTATATAAATAGTACTCATTGACAAATGCTATTCAATTCATTTTTGTAATTTGATTCTAAGTATCAAATTTCCTATGACATTTGAATCCTAAATGATAGGAAATGTTCTTTTATTTTTCGGCCCACACTTAATAAAGGATCTAGATCAGCCGCTCCACCCAACTGCAACCAGAACTTTCTTTATGTCCTTTTCTTTGACATAAGTTTGCAGTCCATCTGCATCATCCCAATTACCCTGGTTGGAAGACCTATTGGCAGCAAGCACATAGTTGGCTGCAATGTCAGGCTCTATTCTAGGCAGCAGTTCCTTAAGGTTCTCATTTATATGAGGAACAATGCGTTCATGCTGTTTGCAGGCACTAATAAAGCTTCTTAGTATTACAGAATTTAGTTCCATCGGCATGTGCACGATGACCTGGTAAGCTTCCTCTATCTTACCTGCACGTCCAAGCAAGTCCACCATACATCCATAATGTTCCATGCTTGGTCTGATATCATAAACACTCGCCATTCTCCTGAACGGGTCATGCCCTTTATTGACAAGACCTAAGTGACCGCAAGCAGAAAATGACAAGCTGTCGGGCCTCAGTCCAGATTTTTCCATTCTGGAAAATAAGCATACGGCTTCTTCTCCGTGGCCATTATCTGCAAGTGCAGATATCATTATAGTCCACGACTGCAGATTCTTGGCGCTCATTATATTGAAGATGTGGAAGGCTTTATCCACGTGGGCGCACTTCGCATACATCTGAAGGAGGGCTGTTCCCAGGCCAACATGCAACTCAATACCATTAGTTAGGATTTGCGAATGGATGGACTCGCCTAGTCTGGCATTCAGGAGAATGGTACACGCAGGTAGCAGCAAGCTCGCCAAAGTGATTGAAGTTTACTTCTCATTTGCAAGCTTCATCTTCGTGAACACTCCAATATCATCTGAAGGGAGGTCACTACAAGAAATTAAGGAAGTACATAGGATGATAGGAACACTCAAAACTGATGTGGCAGGGAAACAGTTCCATGTTTCTAGGAACTACATCAAGGTTTTGTCATATCATATATGCATCAATGCACAAAAGTTTTACAAACGGGGATAATGTCCACTCAATATAGAAACAAAATTAAGAAAAAAGGAAGAGTTTTTAGGGAGAATAGCTCATTTTACTAATGTACACATCACAAGTGAAAAGGGGGTTGGAACATTCTTGCTCATTGCCAGTAAAATGATACAGATATTTAGCTACACCAAAATGATAATTCTCTTCTACAGAGCAATGGTTATGCAATAATATAATGGTACAGATATTTAGCTAAGCTACCAAAAGAAATCTAGTAGGTATCAATATTAGACAGGCCGCTCAAAAATATTAAACGTTACGGAGTAGTATAAGAATAACTAATGCATAGAGAACTGAAACCATCTCTTCAGAGCAGTCCTAGAAATGGTCTTGCTAAATCCGATTAATAATCTTCAGGTGCATTACTCCATCAGTCCCTCTGGCGCAAAAAAATATTTGTCGTGCACTTTTTCGTTCGACCTAAAATTAAGTTGTTTCTTTGTTCCAAAGGTTCATGTGAAATAAGGATTGTGTTAAGTTTTATCAAAAGTGTTATGTACTTATGTGGTTCACTGATAAAAAAAATGGTTCACTGTATCGCAAATCTGTACCGCAAAATTTTAGCTTCTTGACAAATGTGTCTGCAACTTATTTTGAGATGGAAGGAGTTTGATTATTCAAACAAAACCAAACTACGAATAACGTTAAGATGTCTGAAAACCGAATGAAAAAACAAGAAGAATATCCTCACCAATCAACAGAGCTAGAAATCATAAAGCTCTAAGAAACCATGTCCCTTGCAGGCATTTCTTCGAACACTTTCTTGCAAACGCTATCTGATATGCACTATAATGCTACGACTATGGAGTTCGACTTTGATGGAGGGGAGAAAAGCTGAAGACAAAAATGCTCAGGAACACAAACCCGACCGGGTCAGACCTTAAACCCGGTCGGGTCAGTTAAAGATCTGGATTTAAGAGGAAAGAGTAAAACCCGGTCGGGTCCCTTACTCGACCCGGGTGGGTCAGATTTGACCCGGAGCACCAGAACATGCAGCAGATCACAAAGATTTGGAAAAGATCTGATTTTGACCAAACCCGGTCGGGTCAGATTTGACCCGGAGCACCAGAACATGCTGCAGATCACAAAAACGTGAGAGATAATCTGATTTTGACCGGTACCCGGTCGGGTATGTACCTATACCCGGTCGGGTACCCGGCCAAAGGTGTTGAAAAACACCTATAAATAGCACATTTTTTCTTCACAAAAAATCATCCCTTCTTCCATATACTTAAGCTCAGTTTAGAATAGCATTTCTTTATATTTCTTTTAGCATGTTTAGTCTCCAAATAAGGAGCTAAACTTCCAATTCTTGGTTTTGCTCTTGAAGCTTGTTGATTATTAAAGTTGTGAGTTATTTTCTTACTTTCTCCTCTTGATTATTAATTCTTCCCTTAATCTCATTCTATATCATTGTTGGAGGGTGGCTAAGTGACGATTAGTTAACGTTCCAACATTGATTATTACTAGAAACGATCAACGAACCGATTGTTAAACGTTGATGGTTTCACAAGTAAGTAACTTCGGTTTATTAATGCACGGTCGTGGTTAATAAACTTAAGAGGGATTAATTTTGTTGGTTAAACCAAAACCGTTGTGTTGAGGTTATCAATCTTAATTGATTTCATCTAGGAGTTAAAGAGGTTAAATGCTACTATTATATCGGTATACGGCGTTGTTCTATATTTGATTAATAGTAAGGGTTATTAATGAACGGTCATTGTTAATAACTACCCTCGATGAATTGGATATACTCCTCGATTGAGTATTCGAGAGGGGATAAGTTATAGATATAACAATGATCGACTAAAATACATCAACAAGTGGAAAGTAGCAAGACCAAGTCCCTTTTATTCTTGAATTTAATCCCATATAACTCGTTCATCTTCGTGTTTAATTTAATTGAATCACTCAACAATCAAAACCCCCCTTTTATTTACTCCTTTCATTAAAAAAATAAATTATTCCTTTCCCTGTGGATACGAACTCTACTTCACCTATACTACGTATAAGTGCTAGTATCGATTTATTTTGAGTGCACTCACGACAAAGTGCACGTCAAATTTGGCGCCGTTGCCGGGGAAAGGCAACTAATTTTTTCTTTTTATTTTATCTTAAGAAAAAGAAAAAAAAAATAGATCGAGTATAAGGATTTCTATTTCTTCTGAGCTTTGTAGTACATGGTAAAATATCGTTCACTGAACGAAATCACCTACCACTCCAACCCCGAAATAGAACAAACTCTCGAGCGGTTGAAAAATAAATTTTCAAGCTCCGACTCGGGAGAATCATCAAGTGCTAGTTCTCATTCTAGCGAGACCGAAGAGCCAATTATTATGGCTAATGAAACAAGAACATTGAGGGAGCTCACGGCTCCGAATCTAAATCAACAACCCCTACGTATCACTTTCCCAACTCTTGATACGGGGGTCACATTTGAGCTAAAATCTGGGCTCATTCATCTACTTCCCTCTTTCCATGGCCTACGGGGGGAAGATCCGAACAAACATCTGTCGGAATTCCATATTGTGTGCACAAGTATGTGCCCCAATGGCGTATCCGATGAACAAATCAAGCTAAGGGCCTTCCCATTCTCGTTAAAAGACACCGCAAAGGATTGGCTTTTCTACCTTCCTTCGGGTAGTGTAACACTTGAGATTTAATATAAACGGATTAATAGTACTACTCATACAAACAGAGATGCATCTCCTTTTAAGGGAGCTCATTACCCAAGAACTCCAAAGTTAAGCGTGCTTGCACAAGAGTAGTCTTGGGATGGGTGACCCCCTGGGAAGTTTCTCAGGGCGCGCATGAGTGAGGACAAAGTGCGCGTAAAAGGCTAGTGGCGGTTTGTGAGGATAGTACTATTGGTCCGGAGTAACAACCTCGGGTCCCACGGGGCCGGGGTGTTACAGGTAGCATCAACACATGGGCTCAAATGAAAAAGAGCTTCCTCGACAGGTACTATCCCGCATCTATCTCTTCAAGTTTCAAAAAGCAAATCAGCAACATTGAGCAAGCGGATGATGAGACCTTGTACGAATATTGGGAGCGCTTTAAAAAACTATGCGCTAGTTGCCCATATCATGGGTATTCGGAACAAGATCTCATCCTCTACTTCTATGATGGGCTTGTTGATCAAGATAGACGCATGGTGAATGCGGCATGCGGGGGGGGGGGGGGTATTGTAACACCCCGGCCCCACAGGCCCCGAGGTAGTTACTCTGGACCTCTAGTACTATCCTCACAAACCGCCACTGGCCTTTTACGCGTACTTTGTCCTCACTCGTGCGCGCCCTGAGAAACTTCCCAGGGGGTCACCCATCCCAAGACTACTCCCGTGCAAGCACGCTTAACTTTGGAGTTCTTGGCGATGAGCTCCCTTAAAATGAGATGCACCTTGTTAGTATGAGTAGTACTATTAATCCATTTATATTAAATCTCAAGTGTTACAATCACCCCCACTTAGGATCGCAACATCCTCGTTGCGCCCTTGCACCAATATCAAATCTCAATCAAATCCCAGAATCCTCCCCCGTTAAGTGCCCGCCCGATATCTAACGGGTCAGCACACTGTCGCAGGGTTGCTTTGATACCACCTGGGAAGTTTCTCAGGGCGCGCATGAGTGAGGACAAAGTGCGCGGTAAAGGCTCGTGGTGGTTTGTGAGGACAGTACTATTGGTCCGGAGTAACTACCTCGAGTCCGGTGGGGCCGGGGTGTTACAGGTGGTATCAAAGCAACCATGCGACAGTGTGCTGACCCGTTAGATATCGGGCGGGCACTTAGCGGGGGAGGATTCTGGGATTTGATTGAGATTTGAGATTGGTGCAAGGGCGCAACGAGGATGTTGCGATCCTAAGTGGGGGTGATTGTAACACTTGAGATTTAATATAAACGGATTAATAGTACTACTCATACAAACAAGATGCATCTTCTTTTAAGGGAGCTCATCACCAAGAACTCCAAAGTTAAGCGTGCTTGCACGGGAGTAGTCTTGGGATGGATGACCCCATGAGAAGTTTCTCAGGGCGCGCATGAGTGAGGACAAAGTGCGCGTAAAAGGCTAGTGGCGGTTTGTGAGGATAGTACTATTGGTCCGGAGTAACTACCTCGGGTCCCACGGGGCCGGGGTGTTACAGGTATTGTGATAACCGCTTTCGCGGCGTTGTAGTAAAACGGAGTCTAACCTTTCGGTTTTTTCCCCGAGTATCGTGTCTCTCGAGGAATGGCGGAGGAGCTTCTTGATTTTAAGTCCTAGTCACAGGTTATCGCAAATTATTGGAAGCTTTCCAAATTAAACTTTTGATTGATTTTCTAAACTACTTTTTGGAAAGGAAAGTAAATTAAATTGTGCAAATAATGGCTCAAAAATAAACTAAAGAAAAAAAAAATAATATTAAACTTAAATGGATTGATGCAAATAAGGGCAATGAATTGAGTAATTAGAAATGGATATATTCTTGGACCTAGTAATTAGGGAAATTAAAACTAAAATTGGACTAATAATTTCTTTCCTCATAGACAAGAATAGAAACTATTTTCATTAATTTATCCTATTTCTAGGTGTCATTAATGTGTTCAAAATGGTTGGCTTGAATTAAATTCTAACCTCATAGACAAGGTAGAAATAATTCTCCAATATTTTAATTAATAAAAATAGCCAAATTCATTAACTAGTTAAACTCATTATTTAAGCAATTGAATTTATCTCTCATAGACAAGATGTAAATCCCTTTCATTAAATTATCCTATTTCTAGGCCTTATTAATGTGCTTGAATATGGTTGGCTTAAATTATTTTCTAATCTCATAGACAAGTTAGAAATAATTTTCCAAGAATTTAATTAATGAATATGGCTAACATTTATTAATTACTATTTCATCATTTCAAACAACTAGTCCAAATTATTAATTTTGATCCCTAATTTTCAGTCAACAAGTCAATCCATATTCCTTTAGTCAATTCATGCCCAAAACAAATTTAGCTAATAAACATCATTTTTTTCATTTAACAATACAATGAATAAATTCAACATTAACAAGGAATTAAGCATGTATAATAGAGAAAATTAAACAAAAATAATATTCTGCCAAAATAAACTTGTAGAACTAAAATATCACCTTTTGGAATTTTTCCCGAATTTTATAACCTAAAATCCAATTTTAACAACTAATTGATAATTTTCCCAATATTAACTAGAAAATACAAAAAAAGCAACTACAAATATTCTAAATTCGTTCTAAATTTTATATTGACTACTAGGAGTGATATTACTGTGAATTAAACTGGAATTAGGACAGAAACTAATTTTTTGCCTTTTTTGAGTATTTAATTTAATTTATGCAATAATAACAACTAAATGCCGGAATTAATTAAAATTTACTTCTACTTCATAAAAATTAACTTTGTTTTGATAAATAACTACCTTGAGTCTAGTAAACAACTATATAATTAATTGGAATGGATTTAATGTCAAGAACTATTTTATTCAAATTTAAGAAGAAAATGAGAAATAGTGGAATAATTTTCTGAAAATTTTAGAAGCACAGATAGAAAAAATTAAGTACAGATTCAGATTCTACTCATTGAAAGGATGAAAATACATATAAAGAACTCACAATTTGGAGCTAAAATGAGAAAGATATGAAAGATTGAAGTTGAAGGTGCAACAATGGTGGAAATCCGAGCTTTGAGGAGGAAGAAGACGCCCTTTTTGATCTGATTTGGGCTTGAAATTGGTGTGTTTGAGTTGAGGAAAAAGTCTGGATTTTATAGCCGAAAAATTCCCGTAGGCGCCCGGGCAGGCGGCCGCCTTCTGGCAGCCTCTGGCCGCCTGCCGTCCCGTCGCCGGCAGACCGTCGGTGGCCGGTCCCGTCAGCCGTAGGCGGCCACAGAGGGCGGCCGCCTTCTGTCAAAAATGGCCGCCTGCCATCTTTTCGTTGGCAAATCGGATCCCGACGGATCCCGACGGATCCCGGCCGCCGCAGGCGGTCCAGCAGGCGGCCGCCTGCCGTCCTGTCTGGCCACCTGCCGTCCTGTCTGGCCGACCGGTGGTTGGTTTCGTCCCCTTGTGCCGCAGGCGGCCACCGTAGGCGGCCGCCTTCTGCCCAGTGTCGGCAGCCTTCGGTCTTTTCCTGGTCCCGAGTCAAAGCGAGGTTGACTTCTGATTTTTCCCGTAGGCGGCCGCGAAGGCCTCCATTTTGGGCGCCTATTTGGGCGCCTTCTGCCACTTTTGTCTGGCAGATGCGGCTTTTCCTGCTCTTCATTTTTGTC